ACACACACACACACACACACACACACACACACACACACACACACACACACGCACACGCACACGCACACGCACACATAATGGGTTCAGTTCCTCTAGAGAAACCTGCTTAGGTCACTTGGTTACTTGGGGTCTGGACAGGCAGAGAGGATTCACACGCGACACCGGTTTTCTTACGGGTAGAGGTGCTGTCAGAAAGGCCGAGGGTGGGCAGCATTCTGAAGCCCCGAGTCCCTTGAGGGGCTCTCATTTGGAAGTGGATTCTTCTCTTCCTTCACCACTCTCTCATCTCTCCGCCTCTCTCAGAAGGACAGACATACACTTGCTTGTCCCAGATGCTTTCCCAAGGACAAAAAAGTCATTATTAAAAAGGTACCATTTGCAAATTCTCAGTTGTTTGGATTCCTATGGTTTCACCAACTCTGGCCACAGTCAGTGGCTGCCATTACCGAGTCACCAGGGGCTGGGCAGTGGTGGCACAAGCCTTTAATTCCAGCACTTGGGAAGTAGAGGCAGGCACATCTCTGAGTTTGAGACAGCCTGGGCTACAGAGTGAGTTCCAGGAAAGGCTCCAAAGCTACACATAGAGACCCTGTCTCAAAAAACAAAGCAAAACAAAACAAAAAAAGAGTCACCAGGGGTGGCCTTGCTTCCCCGGCACATCTTTGCTATTAAGAGACAGCAGAGGGATTTTATTCTCTCTCTCTCTCTCTCTCTCTCTCTCTCTCTCTCTCTCTCTGTCTCTCTCTCTGTCTGTGTCTCTCTCTGAGGTTCTTAAGTAGCCCACCTAGCCTCAAACTCTTGATGTAGCTAAGGCTGGCCTTGAACTCCTGATCCTCTTATCCTCCTGCCTCAGCCTCCCAAGTGCTGGGATTACAGGGAAGTGCCAGCGTACCCAGTTGGTGGACAGTTTTACCAGCATGAAGAGCAATTGGCCCCAGCATTGACCAATCAGTTCACCCTGCGTTGATCGATCAAATGATGGGGAGGCGGACAGGTGCAGGGAGTGTGCAAAAGAACCCGGAGAGCATTTGTGTGATGTATATGCGAGCATTCATTTCACTGCCAGACTCAGTAGATTTAGTCACTGTGGGAGTTTTTGAGGAATTACAACTCTCACACTGAAGGATTTTTTTTCTGTTTCAGAAATGAATGTTGTTGGCTAATGTTGGGCATTGCCTTCTGACTGAAAAGCAGTTGGCCCACCTTCACACAATTATAATTTTTTAAATTACATTTATGTATGTATGTATGTATATGTGTGTGTGCATGGTGCCTGTGTGGAGGGCAGAGGTCAACTTGCAGGAGTCAGATCCCTCTTTCGATGTGGGTCTTGGGGACCAAACGCAGGTTGTCAGGCTGGGTGGCAAGGGCTTTTACTCACTGAGCCAGCTCACCAGTCCTGTTTCCAATTCTTCTCTGTGCTTGTTCAGGTGCATGCATGTGAACACGTGTGGGTGCACATGCATTTGTGTGCACATGCATGTGGAAGCCCCAGGATAACCTCTGGTGTCATTTTCTGGACACTGTCCATTTAAATTTTTTTAAATGTTTATATTACGTGTACGGGTGCTTTGCCTGCGTGTATGTATACACACCACTTCAGTGCCTGGAACTCAAGGAGGCCAGAGGAGGTGTCGGGTCCCCTGGAATTGGAGTCACAAATGGTTGTGAGCCATGATGTGGGTGTTGGAAATCAAATTTGGGTCCTCTGGAAGAGCAGCCAGTGTTCCTAACCACTGAGCCATCTCTCCGGCGCCACTTTTTTTTTCTTTCCTTCAACTAAGTCTCTCACTGTCTGGAAAATCATCAAGTAGGCTAGCTCGAGCTGTCTCCCCAGCCCCAGTTTGAACAGATGTTTAAATTACATTTATTTATTCAGAGAGAGGAGAGAGACAGAGACAGAGAGACACAGAGAGAGACACAGAGAGACAGAGACAGAGAGAGAGAGAGAGACACACAGAGAGACAGAGACAGAGAGAGAGGGGAGAGAGAGAGAGAGAGAGAGAGAGAGAGAGAGAGAGAATATACACATTTGGGTGCGGTGCCCATAGACAGTACAAGACGATGTCAGATCCCCCTGGGAACTGAACTCTGACCTCTGAAAGATCAGCAAGTGCTCCTAGTCACTGAGCCATCCCTCCAGCCCGGCACCCACCTTTTGAAGAACCTGCGGGAGGGTACTTTGGTCTAAGTGACTTCTCTCCCTTCTCTCTTTCCTTTTCTAGACACATTCTGGGTAATCATTAGATGAGGATCAGCATTACACATGAGAGCCATGACTCCACATTCTATAAAGAAAAAGGCCAGAAACCTTGCATTTTTCATTGATTTATTTCTTTGAGAGTTTTTTTACAAATTGAATTGACCTTGCACAATTAGCTTGATGTAATCTTAGGGAAAAAAATCTGAAGTATGCTTTAGGGATAAATGATACATGCTCTAACCTGCCAATCCATTTGACAATCATTTTCCAAGCTTTTGTCTTTATGGAGGGGCGGGGGAGGGGGGAGGGGGAGGGACTTGGGTTGTTTTTTAAGCATCCATGACCAAATCTACATGCAAGAAATTAAAATACTTGCTGGCCTCCTTCTGCAACATCAGCAGGGACTGGGAGGCCCAGCATCTAATACTGAGGCACACAGGGGTCTCTTCCAAGGCTGCTGTTGCCGGAGGCTCTTTGCCCACCAAACCTTGAAGCAGCAGCAGCCTTAGAAGACG